ATTTACGAAATTGTATTGATATATACTTACTCCCCTCAAAGCATTTCCTTTAGCTGAATAATGGTCGCTGCTCTCATCACTATTATTATTATTATTATTATTATTATTATTATCAGAGACAGCGACACTGATGCTTCACTGCCGTACAACCACAAAGTTTGTCTAATTATATCAGAAGCCTTAGAATGAAAAGAGCAGGTAGACTGGGTGAGGGAAGGGACTTGGTGCTGGCTTATATATAATGTATCCTCAGGTGCCTACATCCACAAGCGCTCAATCAGACAACCTGGAAGGAAACTGACAGCGCGAAGGCCACTGACATCGATCAGCCGCCATTTCTTACAATGTCTCTAGCCAATCCTGGAAGGTATGTTGCTCTGCGATAAGAACAGAATTATATCGTGGAGCCGAATATAGGTCGACACTAACTTTTCACAGGTTCTTCTCACAGGGTTTTCGCGTTTTTCCGGTTACACTACCTTAAAAGTTGTCTCGTACGGTACATTTTTATACATGGAAGGCGATCGTGCATGTGTACCATGATTTTAACTAGGTCAGCTCTGCTTGTAGGTAGTAGGACGCTGTGTTCGAAACTGATGGCGAGATGACTCCGTGGTTAGAGCATGAATTTACTGACCGGAAAGGTTTGTGGTTCGAACTTGACCTCCGTCTCTCGACTCCCCTGTTTTAGGCTTGGACAACCTGGCAGTATCCCAGTCCTCGTGCTTCCTTCGGGTGGCATGGCCGCTAGGCACCGAAAGGGTGTGACAGCTGAATGATTATTTTTTTAAAACTTTTATCGACATAGATAAGGAAAATGCCGGTTTATTTTATTATTTTCCATCCGCTGCCATTCTGGTGACTTTTGAAGTGAGGTAGTTCGTACAACCTTCGAAAAATCTACAAAATGCACGGGTTACTTTTCCCTTCTTGTTCTAAATGGAATCAGAGCTATTCCAGAGATTGTGGCGGTGTGAGGAATAAATTGTTCACAACAGTTGAATCACTATTCTCCAATTCCCCAGAGTTCTAAAGATTTAGTTATTCTATATGGAAAGCTTAAAGCGTAGCAGTATATGTTATAGTCCGACCTTTCGATTGTCGTAAGCAACCTTTTTCAAGAGTTCCTAACATCCTTCATTGTCATCCTAGTTGTATTTATTAACATTACCCCTTCGCTAGATTTGCTTGGACACTCGGTGGAGATCAACAACTCGGCGAGGATTGAAAAGTCTGACGGACCAAATGCCAATAAAGGAGACAGTAATGCGTTTACCGTAAGCGTTCTTGCCTTTCACTTATCTTGTTCAACCCCCCCCCCTTTATGTCGTCCTCCCATTGCCTGTTGCCAAATTATGCTTCCTTGGACCGGTTATGACGTAGCGCAGGTTCAAATCACCAGCATTCTCGTTTTCTAATGGTAGCTTGTCACCTCTCTTGATTGGGCTCTGTATGTTTCTTGCGTACTTCAGTGGCTTTCCCGATTGCCTAACTTCCTTGGTGTCCTACGTGTACATATCGTCGGTCACTCTGGCCCGAAAATGAGGAGGACAACAGTTGTAATGATACTCAAAATTTAGATTTTAAAATGATTTTAAAAATGAACAGAATTCTGCTGTAGAGAAAACTGCAGTCGCGATGTGGTTGTAACTACAATTCCCTGAAGACCGAGACCTTTCGACGTTCAGTTCAGGTCAGTCTGACAACTATGAACCATGTACAGATGGGCGGTGAAGAGGTGGATACAGAATAGTATTTCAAAACAGGGGAAAATAAAAAAGAACTCCGCGATTGCTTGCTTGGTATCGCCATTTCAATGAGTACCTCCAACTGTTGATACGGTAGATTTTTGATACCTCAGTATCGCAGACGACATGCGCCAAGTTCAACCAAGTCCTTCGTTGTGTTTTTCATGCTATCCACCTTATGAGATCCCGATAGAACCAGAGACGCGGATCGTTGTGGACTCCAACTTGGTTTCGGTCGTTTCCGGCGTGATGTGATTCCAAGGAGGTCAAGTATCACAATCGCAGTGCTTATCGAATGAGCCTAGATAACTCTCGATAGAAAGTATCCTTCTCAGCATCAGAACTGCGGTCGGTTGGAGCATAAGCCGACACTACAAACAGGCACCGCTTTCTATGTCGGGAGACACTAACCTTGATTGGGCTGGATAACCGGACGTCACAAAGATGACGAATCCATTCGAGTAAACCGCATGCAGCTCTGGGGCTAAGTGCAACTCTCACACCGTGTATTCCACGAGCAACCGTTTCTGAATCAAGTGTTAACTGTTGTTAACCTCCGACACCTATGGCACCGACGTGTCTCTTACGGGCAGAGTTTGCGATGTGGCAGTGCGATTCATACTGCTTTATGGATCAGAGATGGCTAAATGGCTAAATTCACTGATCGAAAGGCCCATCGTTCGAACCCGACCTCTGCGTCTCAACTTCCCCTGCCCAGGCTTGGTCAACCTGGTAGTATCCCAGTCCTCGTGATTCCTTCGGGCGGAATGGCATCTGGGCACCGAAAGGGTAATGATAATGATGGTATGGTAATGGTAACGGTATGGATCAGAAACGTGGCCTCTATGCACGGAGGACGTACGGAAGATGTCAGTGTTCGACCATCGATGTGTCCGAAGCATTGGTTGGTCTGGTGGGAACATCCGATTTGTAATACTAAGGGATGGCAGACGGTCCCAGGAAAATGAGATTCTCCCGCGGTAGATGAATTATGCAGCTTCACGGGNACGCTAGTTGTTACATGTACTCCGCATGCCAGAAGAGCGTCTGCCTCGCATAGCTCTTTTTGCCCAACCGTGTTCTGAGTGGAAGCGACGGAGAGGTGGACCGTGTATGACCTGGCTAAGACATTCGGCAACACTAAGCAGTGAACTCAGTCGAGTCGGCAACTACCGCCTCCCTGGATGGGGACCGCGGAAATCATCTCACCGATGGCTAATGACACTGGCAGGAATGGTCCGATCGCGCGGTCAGCGGCGCTTGTGCATCAAAGCTATCACCTTCAATGCATAGCTACACAGTTCTCGAACTAACTAGATAGGCCGTCGCCTACAAGGCTTGGCTGTATGTTCCGTTCTCCGGTGATCGAAACTGTAGCAGCTGGAACCAGTTTGCCTGTGGTACACGGTTTATGGCTGATAAATTGAATCTATTGATTGGTTGTTAGCTGAAAACCACTGATAGATCAAACAAAACACAAATGAATAGAAATCACTACGGTTAACCTCAAAAGAGAATCAGTTTTGATGACGTTCTGTTTTCTGCCACATCTAGCGGTAAACGATGAAACGGAATGAACGAATTTAGGCGTGAGACACTACTCATAAGGTTGCTGAAAGCTCTGACAGTCCGTTTCCGACCTCGGCGCTCATCAGGTAGGTGCAGTCCCCAGCCTTATGTCCTACTTTGACATCATAAATGAGAGATTCCACTGGGTTCCATGTGGATAAGTCAAATGTTGCGATTGTTCTTTATTTTTACTCACTCTCAATTATAGAGGGTTTTCTGGGCACTTGGGGGCAAGTGCTTACGAATAGCATGTAAAGGAGATGCCCTTCATTTTAGGGACAGTCTCGAGAAGATCCTCGATTGCAAAGTGAACCCCACTGTTGATCAGACACTCGAGGCCTAATTGTAGCGTTCACATGCTTACTAAGAAGGCTGTGGGTTCAGTTCGCAGGGTATTTCCAAGGTACACCGCCATACGGGACTTTTTGGTCTTTCAGCCGAGCCCGACTTGGACATGTGGCACTCTCGATTCCCATTGATCATCGCTTAACTATTTCCTGGGAGAATACTGTCTCATTTCTCAAAGCTGGCTGTCAATTGGTTACATTTTAATGTAATGCATGTGGTCATGGATGTTTGGTTAGTCTTGAGAATGAAGTACGACCGGTTAGCGGACACCATTCATATAGTTTAAATCGTGTTGACTGACTGAGCATTAGAGGTGTAGACATCCCGATTGTTTGCGTAGGGTAGAACTCAAGCCTTCTCTGACTCATTTTCACTCTTCACTTCGAATCAGGACTTTCCTAAAACTAATTAACATGGATGGGCGGTAATGAAGCGCTAATATTGCCGTTAATTATTGATACTAATAACTTGGGGCCACTTGAAAACACGTGCATATTTCTTGGTTCATGCCTCTTCAACTTTGTGGTTGTTGTATGCTTGTGTGTACAACCAGCCGTATTGCTTTCAAATTTCGTCCAATAGCAATCGCCCGCTTTAAATTCACTAACATTTGCGGAACCTCATCAAGTGCGCGGTTTTTTAAGGCTTCCGGTTCAACTCTTGCACATCTCCAAATACCGTTTCAGTCATGTTGCCGCCTACTCCTTTATCTCCTTATTTACAAAGTTCTTTTTTAAGCGACCTGAGGAGTTACACTAGAGGCTTTTGACTTATGGCGGTAGTGGAGTAAGCTGACTTGGATAGTAATTTTTTTAGATCCGCTGTCGTGATGCCAGCTTTACCGTCGTCCTGGACAAGCGAGATCTTGCCGAGGAATGGGTGGTGAATTTGGAGAACGCCCTGCGGTGAGTTTGGTAATTGAAATGCGTGGTAAATGCATTGATTGTCCGATCCTGCATGTTATCGTTTTTTTTGGCCAACGATCGACCGAAACCTTTGTCTGTGAGGTTTTCTGAACTCATGAGTGCCGATGACCAACGAAAGGCGCATAAATACTGTGAAAACCATACTCGCAATGCTCACCTCGTACTATTTGATCGAGGTCTGTCATTTGTGTTGACGAGCAAGTAATTGCAGCCAGGATGCGATTTGGCAATTCTGTCGCTGTTAGTTCGTTCGCCCTGCCACAGCGGGCAGCTACGTATCAGTGTCAGAGGCCAATAAAATCAGTTCCCACTCTATCGTCTTGTTAGTTGGTTATCAGTGAACCGAATTTCTTTATTGGGGACCGAAATAGCTCGTCCAAGCTTACTGATTAGATAAGTTTGATCATTCTTTCGTTTCATCGTAGCCTGCCATTTTTTTGGAAGGAGGTTTCATCAATGCGTTATCCCGTTGTTCCACACGTCTTCATTTTTCTCTTCGTTTTAGTGCAGTTAAACTAGCTCGCCAAAGCTTACGAAAAGCCAGCAGCGCAAAGCGTCCCATGCAGGTTTCGGATTTCGTTCGCTATGAACAATGGCTTGCATCTAGAGAGGCCCAAACTCGGGTAAGTATCTAGTGAGGCTCCTGTGTTAACGTTACATTTGGTCCGGAATTTCTGGCGTTTCCTTGTTATTGGCCTTTCAAGCTGGCTTGATAACCATAGTGGCAACGCTGCTGATGTCTAAATAATCTGGCTGCATTTTCTGAAAATGACTTTACTCAAACAAATGTATTGATCCGCTCGCCACAGACCGGGATTATTCTGAAGACTATTCTGGGCATCCAGAAAACAAAACTTGTTCGGACCATCATCGTATCCTTGAAAATTGCCACCACCCTGAGTACTTCTGAACTGCGTTACAACTCGGTCTCCGGCCTCTTCTCCAACACCATGCACTATTGAGAGGTTACTGAATCTGTACCGTATGGGTCCCTTGCAGTCTGTGCAGAACAAACCCCATTGTTTGTCAGAAGACTATGTATACAGCCACGGCACCCCAAGGAGCCGAGATGGTCTTTGTGTTGCATTCCTACGTGAAAAGATTCGGCTGCATCTGACTTTCAAGTTCGCATCATACATGCTTGCATGCTTTTCCATCGAAGGAACGTGTGGGGCCTCGTAACAGTGTGCAGTCAGCACATGATTCTGTTTATGTCAGGCATTCCAGTCATTCGTATTGTGAGAACAGCTGCGCCTGCGCTATTGAACTCTCGAATGCACCATTTTGATTGTCAGTTCGTTTGTTCACCAGGCATAGCATTTGCAGTCGGCTGGAACGCTTGCCAGACCCATAATCGTACGTTGAAAGTCTGTTTTGTTTGACCTGGCAGCCGGAGCCCCTACGTTGAACACGCGAGCATATTTCGATTCAAAACACTGTACAAGCGTGGCGTTCACTTCTGTGCACAGCCTACGTACACTTTTTGAATAAAGCGTATTATTGGTCACCTCTTTCATTCATGATCAATATCATGGCTGTTAATTTCCGGGGAGACAGGCATAGCATTTGCAGTCGGCTGGAACGCTTGCCAGACCCATAATCGTACGTTGAAAGTCTGTTTTGTTTGACCTGGCAGCCGGAGCCCCTACGTTGAACACGCGAGCATATTTCGATTCAAAACACTGTACAAGCGTGGCGTTCACTTCTGTGCACAGCCTACGTACACTTTTTGAATAAAGCGTATTATTGGTCACCTCTTTCATGCATGATCAATATCATGGCTGTTAATTTCCGGGGAGAGGTGGCTCAAGTGGTTAGCGCGCGAATTTACTGACCGGAAGATCCGTGGTTTGAACCCGACCTCTGCCTCTCGAATTATTCTGTCTAGGCTTGGGCAACCTGGCAGTATCCCAGCCCTCGTGCTTCCTTCGAGTAGCATGGCAGCTAGGCACCGGAAGCGTGTTACAGCTGAGAGGTTTTAGATTTCTGTTTATTTCCACATATTTGTAGTCGCGTGAGAATGGTTGGGAAACCTTCCAAAAGATTTTCTACAAGCAGTGATGTCCGACAAGGATGTTTAATCTCTCCATTTTTGTTCGATTTCGCCATTGATGAGGCGCACACTGGAAGGTCTTCAAAACCCTTGTGTTCAGATCTCTTCAAACGAGGACCTTATTCACCTGAAATATGCAGGCCACGTTATCCTCACTTTTGAGAGATACATGCAAACGCAGGTATTACTTGAAAAGCCGACCAAGATCATCCATTCCTTCGCACCCACAAAGGACAAACACATGCTGCGGGGGACGTGCATCCTTTGAACATGCATCGGAGACTTCAAGGAATAACACTGAAGGTTATAGAACAGCATAGGTAGCTTGGAATTTGCATCACCTTTGACGGTATTGCGACAGACTATGTGAACGGGCGACAATCGAAGGCCAGAAATGCGTTTAACAACTTGAACTACTCGGGTCATCGCAAAGACATCTCACTTCAAGAGACATGTGCACCAGACTACAGTAAGGGCTGTGTTATTGTACGGCCACAAGGTTTGGTCATTTGGGGCCACTTGATACCTCTTTAGGTCTTTGAGCACCTGTATCTCATAAACATACGAGATACATGTGCGCCAGACTACAGTAAGGGCTGTGTTATTGCACGGCCACAAGGCTTGGCCACTTGATACCTCTTTAGGTTTTTGAGCACCCGTATCTCATAAACATGGCTGGAATCGGCTGGAAGCTACGAACCCACAGTGTGACGATCAGGAGACGGGTTTTGCTGAGGCACAGGGTACTTCCCTCAAACAGTGCATCCAACGCTACAAACTAAGGTGGCTGAGACATGTTTTAGTCCTACCGCCTGTCGAGACGTACTGTTTTCTATGCCTTATTCGGATTGGCAGAAACCTATCATGCGGCGGAATTCGATACAATAGAAGTAACTGTTGCTAGAAAATGTTTGGGCGCTGATGGTTCCGTTTGCCTTCCTGGATGTGGCCCACATGACCCCTCTATTGCTCGGCGGGAGACGCTGAACTAAATGGCGGATAACCCGTGTCAGTGGCGCTCAATCTGTCAGTTTCTATCCAGACTGTCTAAGTGTTGGAGGTGTACACGCGTCGGATTTTGGTTGTAGACTGACCCTAGATCCAACTCAGTCCCTAATTTCGACACTGATTCCCCAGTTAAAACCACTTGGTTGCTTCTTTCTAGAGGTCCATGTTTGTTGACTTCTTTCCACAGTATTCTCCCATGTCTCATGATTTTCACTATGGACAGTAGACACAGGACACTGTCGACTTTTATATTTTCAGCCTGATCCAGACTATGTTCTTCCGCACGCTGTTCGGGTTGCCGAAAGTCTGGGTTTGTACACCGATTCCGCTCTATCTAATCTTCGTCAGCGACATGCGTCGGATCCTACCCGTGGAATTAGCGATTCCTTAGGCAAGCTCACATGTGGATTGAGGCTCCTGTCTCCGTTTCGTAGCGGTCGAAGATGTTTTATGTCAGATCCAACTCAATTCCGATCTGTGCCTACCTCCCCATCTTGGCAAACGGAAGATTATCAGGTAAGCCCGAATAGAGCAGTGAGTTTTCCGTGATCTTGATGCCCTATCCCTAGCCACTAGTACTCGACGCTTCCGAGGCACCTTATTCCGTGTCTTCTCTGACTATCCGGTAGGAATAAGTTAATGAATGTCTTCTGGCTACGGTATTTCTGGATTCGAGTGATGCTGCAGCTATGTGGCTGTAGTATCACGTCGCAGTCGTCTGCTTTTGTGATCCAAGGTGCCAGAAAACGCTTTACTTATCGACAGGGTTCTTGGTGAAGAAATTTAAATGTGAATAAATCCTTCCGGACTCTATACACACATCTTGCTATGGGGACTTTTATATTCACTTTACCGTCTGTCTTTGTGCCCAACGACCTCATAGGAACGTCACTTGTTTCTTGTCAGTAAGTATACGTTTCTTGTAAGTATACGTTGCAATCTCACTATCCTCTGACTTCAGATCAGTAATAACGTTCAACTCGTCTCCGTTGACGACGCTGATGAGAATTCCGACCCGCTTCGAACTAAAACAAGAACAACTCCGACACTTCAGTACCGAACATTTTCCTTACAAACAATGCACAGTGCGAGCGACCCCACCGAACATGTTGCATACTCTCCACCTCTGTTGCCTTTATGGAGAAAACGACTGTGTGTTCGTGATGGGTCCGGTGCGTATGCGAACGTGTTGAACATAAGTACTGATTCCAACCTACGAAGCAGCCTAACTGAAAGACGATTTAGGTAAGTTTCCAGGTGACACCGATGTGCAACAGGTAGTTGAACTGTCTCCTTGTGCTCATAACGGAAACTACTCACCAGGTTGCTGAAAACTCTTCGACAGCCCACGACCGGTTTCGCCCTTCTTGGGGCTCATCAGGTAGACGCAGTCCCCGAGTTCTACTTGAACTCATGTGTCTTTTCGAAGTTTTCCCTCCCCCTCTCCGGTAGGTTGTACGTGCAGGTTGGTGTGGTTTGCGACAAATTTAAGTGGCCGAATGCACTTGTTCTGTTTGAAACAACACCCGGATTAAAAAAAAGCCCACTGAAGGACGTGTCACTTGCCCAACCCCCTGATTGTTAGCCCCTTTCCAATTTGACTTTCCTTCGTTGCTCATACCATCTCTTTTATGTAGCATACCATGAAGCTGCGTTATTTGCAACGTGGAAACGACAAGGCAACAACAATTGATGGTCAGAAGCCAGTCGTGCTGCGGTCATATCCTAATCCTGTGATAAATTGCCCCGTTGTCAAATATGGTTGTATCACACTAGGGAAGCAGGAAGATTCTACCAGTTTACGAGGATGTGGAAAGCTAAAATTCACAAAGTGGATTTCAAAAGCCCATATGATGAACGTGGAAGCAGTGATTCACTCGACTTTTGTGTAGCTGCAGTAGAAAAAACTAAATATCATGTTCATTCTATGGATACTATTGACAATGTTTGACATGGCTAACCGGAGTTGCGGTTCGAAACATGTCTGCAATCCTTCTTGCATGTGTAACTCACCTTTGATGGCAATCGTTGACCCCACGGTGTGTTAATATCGTTCTTAGTGCCAGACCAATGCACTTTTTCCTATGCCTGTTGGCCTCCATACTCATGATACCTTGTCAGAGTTGTTCACCTTGGACCACAAAACGAGTGTGGCATCAGCAAAAAAGTCGATCACACACCCAACAAGTGACCGCAGCGGGACTCACTAGTTTCACCTTATGGGACAGTCTTATGTTGTTGTCCTTGGGTAAGTACCTTGGGTAGGTCCTGGCAAAGCCAGGACACAAAGCGAGTTGGCTCAGTCCAGTTTAACAACCGTGAACCACATACGGTGTTTTGGATAACCAAACCTTATGACAGTAGCGAAGTCTTGACTCGTGAGAATCAAGCGGGATTTCGACCGGGTTGAGGCTGCGTTGACCACATCTTCACACTCCGTCAGGTGTTAGAGCAACGCCACATGTACAGACGACCCACAATCCTGGTATTCCTTGACTTCAAGGGTGCGTTCGATTCTGTTGATCGATCAGTTCTGTTAACTACACTTGCTCAACAGGGTATGCCCCAGAAATTTGTAAACATAATCCGATCCCTATATTCACATACTTCTGGGCGGTTGAGAGCGTATGGTGAGCTCTCCAAAAGCTTTCCTACAAAAAGTGGTGTCAGACAAGGATGCCCACTCTCCCCATTCTTGTTCAACTTCGTCATCGATGAAATAGTGAGGCGAGCATTGGTCGGTTTTCAAAACCCCGGTGTTCAAACTGTTGCTGGCGAGAGCCTCGTCGATCTGGAGTACGCAGATGACATCGCCCTCATCTATGAAGACC